TTTCCCAGGCCACAGGCAGGGAGCTGGATGGGAAGTAAGGCCACCAAGTTTAGACACAGATAGGATCCCGGCCCGCCCAAGGAACTAGGCCACCGAACCAGGACTTACAACTTTTATATCCTAAAAAACCAAAGCTCTTGTTACAAAGGCCAGGATATGCAAGCTGAACAAAGGGAGAGAGGAGATAGCCTTGGGGTTGGGGCATTCTTCAGTAATTTACCACAGGAGGCAGACCAGAAGGAGAGATAGCAGCTGCTCCAAGATAAACCATCACACCAGGTGTTCTTGGCTTGTGATAAGCCTCTGGTTCACAGACTCTCAGCTCCTTCAAGTGGGACAAAGATTGGCTGTTACCACAAGCAGGAGTGTGGAACAGAGATACTGCTTCACAGACCCAGGGTCTGTATGGAGTAATGAAAAATTTTGGAATCACACAGTAGCGAAGGTTGTGTAATATTGTAAATATAATCAATGTCACTGAACTGTGTACTTAATATCGGTTAAAATGGCAAAATGTCTTTACAATTTTAAAACGTGAAAATACAAAGAATAAGGAAGCTAGTACTCTTTACTATGGCCGTGGGTTTAAATCCTGACTGCCATTTACAAACTATGTAAGACTGAACAATTTCTCTCATTTCTCTGGGCTTCAGTCTCTTTGTCTATAAAACAGAGGCAATATTCACTTCACAGGGTTATTGAGGACTAAATCAGAGAACTTAATCACTCACAACAGAACCTGTTATGTAATAAATGCTGGATAAACGGTAGGTGATATTATTAAAAAACCACTGTTACTCATCAAGTAGGTGTCTGTAAGGCTGCTATAAATGGGTGCCTGAAAGAATCTGATGATGTTCCCAAGACACCTGAAGTTCCGACTAAAGAAATCATGCCCAGTACTCCAGCTATTCTTCTATAAAACTGGAAAATAGTGACCCTTAGGACCAATTCTCCTGGGTTACCACTGAACAGTCATTGTAAACCACACACTCAGGAAATAAGACCATACTTTATAATAATAAAGAATGCACTTCAACTAAAGAAGAGAAGAAAAGAAAGTTACTGGCTTCCTCAATGATTTTCCCTCTACTCACTTTTTTCTCCCCCCCGCAAACACGTTATAAAGGATCTACTTGCTCAGTAAAATCTTGCCTGGAGGGACTTCATGCTGACCTCATCCTCACACTGTCAGAACAGGGTGGATAACCAACTGTGCAGTTACTGTCTACAAATGCCACAACAACATGGAAGTTTGGAGAGACCAGTTAAGTAATTGTGGGTTTCATGGCACACGTGTCCTGATTAGGCATAAAAGAGAACATCCAAAGTAGCAGGATCCAAAATGCTGAATTCCAGGCGCAGGCATTCAGCCTGGCAGTGAGGATCCCAGTTAGGATGCTGGAGTCTACATCACAGCCCCTGGGTTCCCACTCCACTCCAACCCTGGCTTCCTGCTAACGCAGACTCTAAGAAGCAGCAGTGCCAGCTCAACTCCAGGGGGACCTAGATTGCATTTCTGGCACCTGGCACTTGACTCCAGGCCTGGTTCCAGACCAGCTATCGCAGACATCTGGAAATAGTGAACCACTGGATGGGAACTTTGTCTCTCAAACTAAAAAGCAAAAACAAAACCTAAATCCTGAATTACAGGCAAGCCATACCACAGAGATACTACAAACAAATCCAAAACAAGATAACAAAAATCTTGTGTGATCTATTTCCATATTTCACAAAACACACAAATACCTCCCAAACTTCTTCAAAGAGGTAATTCACCCAATAAGGAAGTTTTCCTGGATAAAACAGCTGTGGTATATATACATGAGAGTCGGGCAGGGCAAGCACCCGACCTAGTCATTCAGACACTGCTTGGGCACCCTACACTGGTGTGCCCAGGTGCCAGTCGTGGCCTGGCTCCTGATTCTAGCTTCCTGTGACTGAGTACCCTGGAACGCAGCAAGCCACAGCTCAAGCCACTGGACCCCTGCCACGCATGTGAGAGACTGGATTGATTTCTCAGCTCCCAGCTTTGTGCTGGCCCAGTTCTAGCTATGATGGACATCTGGGCAATAAACCAGCAGAAGGCAGCTCTGTCTCTTGCTTTCCAAATAAACAACTTTGAGACAGATAGATACTTTGATATATAGGGAAAGGAAAGAACATCACAACCCCTCCCCTTACATTTTTAATAAATTTCAGGTGGGCTATGGCACAGTAGGAAGGGCTGCCACTTTGGGACGCTGGCATCCTATACCAGAGTATGTGGCTTAAATCCAAACTACTCCTTGCTTCCAATCTGGCTTCCTGATAACGGATCTGAGAGGCAACAGCATGAGCAAAGCGCTGCCCGCAGGGAGCCCCAGCTGAGGTTCCAGGCTCCTGGCCCTGGCGTGGCACAGTCCTGCATAACGTGGACATCTGGAGAGTGTAAGGTTCTCTCATTTGCTTTCTTCTCTCTTGCTCTGCCTTTCAAGTAGAAGAGAAAAAAATTCTTAACAAAGGCTGGCTATTTAGAGGGTTAAGCCACTGTAATGTTTGTGTAATAATGTGCATGTAATTAAATGTCACGAGAAGCATTGTTGACAAATTCTCACAAGCCAAATACATATGCATTAAAGCTAATAGCCCTATGTTTGAAAAGGTAAGGATCGAAGCCAAGGGCTTTGGGAAGACATCTCTTCCTTCCCAACAAAAATTCTTAATAAGAACTCCTTAATGTAATAACAGGAAACACACAGCTAAACTGATTTCACTAAACCACAATTAACCCATAGATAGTTATTATGACAATGGAGGCTGAAGGCTTTTATAATTAAATTCCATAATAATTCTTTTATCACAAGACCTGTTATATCATGGCCATGCTTTCTCCAGAAGAAAATCAGTTTGCTGGTTAACAGTCTGCTCCCAAGCCTTTCTTTGGAAGGAATAAAAGCTTATGGTCCAGAGAACTAGATCCACAAAGAAACTAGTATTGCAGTGACCTAACTAAACATCACTGGCACTAACTTTCCCAAGTTGGGCCCAGCATGCCTAGCATCTAGAGTCCTTGCCTTGCATGCACCAGGATCTCATATGGGTGTCAGTTCTAATCCCGGCTGCCCCACTTCCCATCTAGTTCCCTGCTTGTGGCCTGGGAAAGCAACTGAGGATGACCCACAGTCTTGGGACCCTGCACCCATGTGGGAGACCCAGAAGAAGTTCCTGGCTCCCGGTTTCAGATCAGCTCAACTCCAGTTATTGTGGCCATCTGGGGAGTAAACCAGCAGATCTTTCTCTCTGTAAATCTGCCTTTCCAATAAAAATAAATCTTAAGTAAATTACCCAAAGCTAAAATTTCATGCCTTAAAAACACTTAGTAATAGTGCTGGTCACAGGTCACACTCCCAAAAGGCTGAGATAAACTGGACCTACTTTATTAACAGGAAAACACTTAACATAATTTCTAAATGAGAATGACAAACATAATTAAAACTAAACACTACCTGTAACAAGTACTAATATATTTCAGTACCATTAATGATCACCTCAATTACTGAATCATTTTGACCACCAACTTGACCTTAACCCAAGGCTATTTAAATCATGCCCTTTTGATCTCCCCCCCCCCCTTTGTTGTGGGGAGGATCTTGTTAAAGTGCCATCAATAAATTACCTATCACAGGAAATCCAGTATGAAGTAGCATTTTCATGGACTAGACAACTCTCACTGAGCTTCCCCAGGATTTAGTCATCCAAGGTACCCAAACACTTTAATGAAGAGGCAGGTTCAACACATCATCCAGGAAATACATCAGCAGTACAAGGTTTAAGGACTGGGCATGACAAAGCAAACAAACTAGTCCAAATGCTAGCATGTTAAGAGCAAGTTGTTAAGCCCTCTCATACTCACACAGCCTAGTTTAGACACTTACAATAGGCCCACCATTCCGTGGCTTCTAACGTGAAGTGGCATCAAACCGCCACAGCGTCCTCAAGAAGCTGTTTTAACTACAATTCTCACCTCCACATGTTCTGCAGAACGGACTCGGCAGAAGCTCCCTGAGCTTCAGTAGCCAGGATTACTTTTGCTCACACTGCCATTCTACAGCTACCGATGGAATGAAAACACCTCTCCGCAGCACACTCCTATTTTCTGTAAAGTACCAGTGCGCCCCGTGTTACCAAACTTTCAAAGTACTCGGGGCTACACGGCTAAGTCAAACTCTCCTGTATGTGCGCTTTCATTTTATGTATGTTCCCTTTTAAGTAAGTCGGATCGGAATTCGACTAGCCCACCCAGACGGCACACTGGCCTGACACCCCCATCCCCACCCCACGCTGCAGCTGCAACAGCTGCAACAAGAAGCCACGTTTTAGCCGGGCAGACCGTTCCCCCTCCCTCCTTCCCTACTGCCTGTGGCCACTTGAGACTTCCCCAGGCCAGCTCCAAGAAACTCGCAGGTTTAAATGGCCAAACTGGAGCCAACCAGGGCAGTTGTCATCTGAAACTCGGGAAAGCTGAGACCAGCCGACCGTGCTGCGCGGGGAAGGGAGCCGAGGGCTGCGGCGGGCCGGTCGGAGGGAACGCATTAGGATCCCTCCCCCGTCCCCTCCTGTCTCCTCCCCGCCTCCCCCACCCCAATCAATTCTCTTTCTGCAACCCCAGCGCCGCCATCCTGTTCTTGAATAATTAAACGCGCTGGAGAAGGAGTGAGGGGGCCAGAAGGGCAGTTTCGGGTCCGACTTTCCCGAGCCCAGGGGATGCGCTCGGCGAGGCCGAGGGCTACGACCCCGGCACGCACAGGACTTCCCCCCGGGGCGCAGGGGGCGGGAATGGGGGCGACCCCCTTAGCTCGCAGGGCAGCCGGAAGCTGAGCTCGGGCAGGCTGACGTGGAAGCGGGGGGATGACAAAGGGGCGCGGGGGCCCGCCCGCGCGGCCGCGGGGGTCGGGACAGGTGGCCGGGCCTGGCCGGGAACAATGGGGGGCCGAGGCTGCCCCCTGGCGCTCACCTACCTCCGGTGCCCTCCGAGTTCTCGTTGAGGCTGCCCGAGGAGTCGTGCTGGGCGCCCACACACCCGCCCATGGGGGCCCCGGGCGCCTCGTCCGCCACCTCCGGGCGCTCGTCCCGGTCCGCCGCCGCCGCAGCAGCAGCCGCCGCCACCACCACAGCTACCACAGCCACCACCACCTCCGAGCTCCGGACAGCGCGCCGCTCGCCCGCCGCGGCCCAGCCTCCGCCCCCTTCGCCGCTCCACCCACTGCCGAGGCTCGGCCCCTTCCTCCGCGCCCACTTCTACCTCAGCCCCCGGGCCGTCCGCCCGGCAGGCCTGGGCCGCGCGCCGCCTGCGCCTCCGGCTCGGCCGCACCCCGCGGAAGCCGGCCCATCCCGCGGGAGGGCCGCCGCAGCCCCCCGCCTCGCCCCCTGCCCACACCCGAAGGCGGCGAGCCCCGCGCCGGCGCCGCCCGTCAGCCAGGCCCCATCGGCCCCCGCCCCGCGGCGCCGCCCTCCGCACCAGCCGCCTGGGCTCGGCCCGGCCCGCCGGGAGCCGCCGCCGCCGAGGGGCGGCGCGTCGGGGAGGCCGCGCTGCGATTGGCCGCGAGCGGACGGGGGTGGCGAGGCGAGCGGAGAGGGAGAGCGGGGCGGCGAGGCGGAGGGGCTCTGGGGCCGGCAAGGAGGGCGAGGAAGCGGGAAAAAGCTGAACAAAAGTGAGAAAGGAGAAGTCCAAAGCAGTTTTTTTTTTTTTCTGAGGGACGGGGATAGCGAGAAGTTGTCATGGAAGACCCGCCGGCGTGGACGGGACGCTTGCTGTCCTCAACAACGAGGAGTCGGAGGGAGGAGGTCCTGGCTGTCCACTGAGGTTCCGGTAGTTTGGGGTTGGTGTGAAGTCTGTGGGCTGCTCCCCTCAGCCCTGCCATCATTGTGCCCCTAGAAGCGGAGGTGAAGGCGGTCATTGTGGTTGTGAGGTTGCACTCGGGTTCCTAGGGCGAGACGTCCCGTGCAGGAGAGGAACCCTGGGGCTGGCCGAAGTTCACGGGGGACGCGGGTGCATTTTCCCGGGATTGATTATTCCATTTGCTTCCGAAGATCCTACTTTTCAAACCTTAAAGCGCCTTCAGAACGGAGTGAAGGAAAAAGAACACCCCAGATTTTTTTTTTTAGGGTTTTGAGTTTACTGTATTGACCACACCCAGCATCCTTGGCGGCTTCTCTCCCAGCCTAAAGGCAGATTGTGAATGAACCCTCTAAGAACAGGCTGCTTTTCTTGCTACAGTGCCTTTAAAATTCTGTCATCCTGCCTGGGCCCTTTTAAATCTTGATTTCTGGCCTAGAGCTGTTTTAAATACCTGCTCTATTTTCATATCAGACTATTATTTTTTTATAATCCTGGGTCGGCTTTGGTTAGCATTAAAATATTAGGGCCTGGCGTGATGTCTCCATGGCTAAATCCTTGCCTTGCAAGCAGAAAGATGCCATATGAGTGCTGGATCGTGTCCTGGCTGCTCCACTTCCCATCCAGCTCTTTGCTTATGGCCTGGGAAATAGTAGAGGATGGTCCTAAAGCCATGGGATCCTGCACCCACATGGGAGACCCAGGAGAAACTGCTGACTCCTGGCTTCCGATTGGATAGGCTCAGCTCTGGCCATTGTGGGCAATAAGGGGGTGAACCAGTGGATGGAAAATCTCACTTCTCGCCGTAAATCTGATCTGACTTTCCAAATTAACCGAACCATTTAAGAAAAATGCTGTGCAATTTGGTATTTGTAATGTTCATACACTGCTGGTGGGAGTGTGGATATGTACAGTCTTTTTGCAAAGAGCCCTTGGCTGGGGTATTATCCACATATGGTAATCTAGTTAACAGAAATCATACAAAATGCAAAGATTTGGGCTATGGTATTGATTTAGGAAACAACAGTGAGAGTTGAACAAAAGCTTACATTTACATGAAAGCACAGAGAGGTCTTGTGAGGTCTGAAAGTCTGCTCCATTTACACTCTCCTGTTTGGTGAGTCTTGAACGTGTTTTTCAGTTGGCTGAGGTTGGTTGGTCTGAGAACAGGGGGCTGTGTCACAAAGCCACAGACATCACTTCCCCGAAGGAGAGAGAAAAGCCACATGCTGACTCCTTACAAAGAGAATGCTTTGTCCTGGATTTCGCTTTAGGAATGGCAGAGACTTGTGCAATGTCTGCGAGACAGATGGTCAATACCCAAATGCAAACAAACATTGCATTCTTTGTATGTGTATGTTTGCGTGTGTACACCTATATGTCTTTCTAGAAGTATACTCTTAAACCATATATTTTTACAAAGTGTCAGTTGTACAGTCCAATAGTAGTCAGTACTTTCATAGACAATGCGTGTTAGAACATTCCATCACCCCACACAGAAGCTCTGTACCTGTCGGTCACTCCCTGTTTCCTTCCAATCCTCCACCCAGCCCTAGGCAACCACAAATCTACTTTCTGTCCTCAGACATTTGTCTATTCTGGACATTCCACATAAATGGAATGGCAGAAGCCCAAGTACTTGAGCCCACCATCTGCTGCCTCCCCACAGTATGCATTAACAGGAGACTGTATGGGAAGAAAAGGAGTGGAACTTGAACATGCACTGATTTACAATGTGGGGGTGCCAAGCTGCAGCTTAGCTTTCTGCATTCCAACTCTAACCCCTAGAAGTTTTTAAGACCTGACATGGGTCCTAGTGCAATGTCTTAGTGGCTAACCTTGCCTTGCACGCTCCGGGATCCCATGTAGGCACCAGTTCTAATCCTGGCTGCTTTACTTTCTTTCTAGCTCCCTGCTTGTGGCCTGGGAAAGCAGTGGAGGATGGCCCAAGGCCTTGGGACCCTGCATCTGCATGGAAGACCTGGAAGAGACTTCTGGCTCCTGGCACCAAATTGGATTGGCTCAGCTCTGATCATTGCAGCCACTTGGGGAGTGGACCAGTAGATGAAGGATCTTTTTTCTGGGCCCAGTGCTGTGGCCTAGTGGCTAAAGTCCTTGCCTTGAATGTGCCGGGGTCCCATATGGGCACCAGTTCTAATCCCAGCAGCCCTACTTCCCATCCAGCTTCCTGCTTGTGGCCTGGGAAAGCAGTCAAGGAGGACCCGAAGCCTTGGGACCCTGCACCTGCCTGGGGGACCCAGAAGAGCTCCTGACTCCTGTCTTTGGATTGGCTCAGCCCTGGCCATTGTGGTTACTTGGGGAGTGAATGATTGGATGGAAGATATTTCTCCCTGTCTCTCCTCCTCTCTCTATATCTAACTTTCCAATAAAAATAAATAAATCTTTAGAACAGAAACTGCCCAAGTATTTCCTGAAGTGGTTTTCATACTTACTTATGAGTAAATTTACTTATGAGTGCATAGAGACCCCATTTCCTTCTCATCTCCTATAGTTGACAGGGATGAGTTTTTAAATATTGATTATTCTAAAAGGTAACAGGTATCTCATTGAAGCTTAATTTCATTTCCCTAATGACCAATGATATTGATAATCTTTTCATGTGCTTGTTTACCTTTGATATAACTTCTTTGGTGAAGCATCTGTTCAAATCTCTTGTTAATATTAAAATTGGGTTGGCTTAGATAGTTGGCCTACAGGTTAAGCTTCCACTTGGGACACTGCATCCATATTAGAGCACCTGGGTTTGAGGCCCAGCTCTACTTCCAATTCCATCTTCTTGCTGATGTCCACCCTGAGAGGCAGCAGATAATGGCTCAGGAAGTTGGGGTCCTGTCATCCATAAGGGAGATCTAAATTGGGCTGCTGCAGGCAATTGGGGAACAAACTAGCATATGGAAACACTCTTTGTGCCTTTGCTGTTTAAATAAATACAACTGAGTTGTTTATAAGTGTCTTTTTAAAAAATCATGAATGGATTTGAATTTACCAAATACTTATTCTATATCTATGGAGACAGTCATTTTTTGAACATTTATTTATTTTTATTGGAAAGCAAATCCGGATTTTCAGAGAAAAGGAGAGACTGAGAGAAAGCTCCACCCACTGATTCACTCCCCAAATGGCCGCAACTGCCAGGACTGAGCCAATCCATAGCCAGGAGCTAAGGGCTTCTTTCAAGCCTCCCACGCAGGTGCAGAGTCTCAAGGCTTTGGGCCATCTTCCACCGCTTTCCCAGACCACAATCAGGGAGCTGGATAGGAAGTAGAGCAGCTGGAATTAGAACTGGTGCCTCTATGGGATTCTGGCACTTGCAAGATGAGGATTTAGCCATTGAGCCATTGCACAGGGCCCCAAAGTGATCTATTTTAAAAATTTTATTTGAGGAGCAGAGAAACAGAGTTCCTAGCTGGAGTCAGGAGCCAGATTTCTAACCTGGCTTCTGTGTTATGGGACACTGGCATCTTAACTTCTCATATAAATGCTCACTCTGAATTAAATCAGCCTTAAATTCTCTAGATGAACTTTACTTTTCATAATGTTATCTTGTCTACCCTCTATATCACATTTAATTTGCAAAAATTTCATTGATATGTTTTGCATCTATGTTCTGATTATGTGTCCATATATATTGTTCTTATTTTCTTATCTCTTTGTTCCTGTCTTTCAAATAAGAAAGCATTAAAAAAAAAAAAAAAGGGAGAGAGAGACCACTCCTGCCAGGGTTGAGATTGTGTGCCTAAGGAAGCGGTCCCTGCAGGGCTGAACAGAGTTGTTGAACATAGTGTAGCTTGGCTTGACGAATGTCGTGCCACATCAGGGAAGTTGATAGAAATTCCAGTCCAGGATTTGCAGGAAACCTGTTATATATGAAAAGCGGTTAGAGCAATGACCTGAGAGCTTCAGTGCTTGAGGCCGGGGACTGCTCAGTGGTGCTGCTGGCGCCTCGGTCCTGTGAGGTGTGGGTTCCGGAGAGGCGGCACACACCAAGAGCCTGGCCCTGCAGCAGCCGCCATGCAGCAGGAGCCTTCGGAGTGCGCACAAGGGAATCCCTCCGCGGCGTCTCTCCAGTGCCCTCTGCCGTCGCAGCCAAACACTGTGCCAACTGGCAGAAGGACAACATGCCAAGAGCCCAAATGCATTTCCTTGGGGACAGGCAGGGAAGAGTAAATTTGGATTCAAGATGAAGGAATTCAATAACGGACACCGTTTTCTATCAAAAACCTTTATATATACTTTTTTAA